TCTGGCGTCCTCTACTACTTTAATCAGGTGCTCCACACCAACGGCGTCTCCCGTATTCATCGCCCCTGCCTTTTCGATTAACAGAACTTCAGCAATGCCCTCCTCCACCACGGGCCGATGTTGAACACCTCGAGGCACCACGAACATGTTTCCTTTGTTCAGCATGACCTTGTCGATGTCCAGGCCTTGAAGCTCGATGGTCACTGCCAGAAAGAACATAAAACACTTCGTCTGTCTGGAATGTCTATCAGAGCGCCTTAAAGTATCGAGAGCGGTTGCGCTGCTCACATGGTGTGCGTGGAACATAAAGCCACCTTGCAGCTTGGCGACCTTCCTTTCGTATTCCGTCGATGGAAACGAGTAATCTTTGCGACTAGGTCTACGTGAAGGAAGCGAGGATGCCTGGGACTGAAACAGGAGCGCCATACGTGCATGTGATTCTCGTAGCGCTCTTTTATAGATTGTTTTTGATCGGTCATCGCTTCCGGCAATCACAGTCCGTGATCAGTCAACACAAAGGTAGGTAGGTAGGTAGGTAGGTAGGTAGTATTACACGGCCGGTCCCGCTTAGGAACGCCGGTTTCCAGGGATTATCTTAATATACAGCACTAATGTAAATTTTTGTCCCTGGACCTCCTAATACCCCCGTAGCCGAGCTCACGGACGCAATCTTTCGACTCGCCGCGGTAGAGCTAAAGGAATAAAAGAAAGCAAATCAGTACACAAGACGGGGGACCTGAATCAGATCAAGCATTACTCAAACGATACACGGGAATGGAATTTGAATAAGAGCAACAGTTTCCTATCAATTGTCTGGTCCGGTATTTTGACCCGCGTCGTAGAAAAACTCAAATGGACAAGACGTGGGGCTGTATGGCGATCCCCGACATCTTTTGAATTCCCTATATAGGTGCGTCCGCGCTGAAAAGAACAAGCCCTCCCATGCTCCAGTTTGGGCGCTCAGCGCACGCGCAAGGGGCAATAACAGCTGTTTGCAATGAGCATCACACTTAGCAATTTTTTGTAACAATTTTGATTGTGTACCTTGCCAACGATGCCCGGGACGCCTTTCTGAACGGATTTCCTTCGTTTCTAGTACGTTCGAGAGGGCTTCAACGGCGCTTTCTATCCATACCCTGCCCAAGGTGGGATACCAAATATTTGTGTTCGCCAAAATGCGCCTGCTGTAGTAGTTCAACCGCACCTTGCAGTGGTCATATCTTGGCCATTTCTTCATTGATTCATGTGATTCAAGATGTGTTCGAACACTGTCAACAAGGCACCCACTCCCATAATAAGAGGTGTTGTCACATATACATTGAGTATCTTGAAAAGCAGTTGTTTTGTTTATTTGAACAATCAGTCGTGGTGCTTACATTTCAGGTTGGAATCAAACCCTACTCACGCGTCGGATATGCCAGAGGATCACCTCTGGAAAACAGTTGCATTCATCCAATTCGGTTGAGAATTGGCTGAGAAATCGTTGCTGCAAGATGGGGGTGTAAAGACCCACAGCGAATTTTGACAAAGCCATAACACTTCGAATAGGGTATGTATAGAAAGCTCCGTTGAAACCCTCACGAACGCACCAAAAATCAAGCAAATCCGTCCAGAAATGCGTTCTGGGCGTTGCTGTCAAAGTGTGCAATCAAAATTGAAAATTGCTAAGTGTCATGCTCATTGCAAACAGCTGTAAACCTAATTAAGTGTCAAGCGATGAATATGATCCGTTTTCTTACAGCTTCTCACCTCGCTCTTCCTCCTCCACATCAAATGACCCGCTGTATGACTACAATATGCTTGCACCATGCTCGAATTTCCGATAATTCCAAAGTTTGAACTTACTCTGCGAGCTACGCTGATGAATTCCATGGTTCGACCGGTGCTGTAGATTTCCTAAATGTCCTCAAATTCCACAGTGCGCCGTAGCTATGATAGACTGCGGCCAATCGCAAGGTACATGCTCTTCAAAATTCTCGTGCTCTCTTCTCGAATTTCGTCCTGTGCTCTGGCATCCAACATGCAACGCCCTGTTCACGACGATTATCTTTACTCATGCAGGCTGCTTCCAGGGCAAGCAATTACTGACTCAGTGGCGGACGGCCCACATCTGCCTCATTTAAGTATTGTCCTAGTTTCCACTGCAGAAGACCCCCGTTCGACTCGGGGCCGAGTCATGGTCCGCCACCAGGATTTCTTTTTTTTCGGATTCTCCACTGAGACAATCATTTTACTACTTGTCGCGGAACGTATCAGCTTTTTTATAGCAGGTCGTCAAAGCCTCGCTTTATTGGCATGTTTATCCCCCCCTAGGCGATTATGCACTGACTTTGCCCATGCCTGGTACTCTGCTTGCATATCTAGAATAGGTCAGAAGGATTTCCAAGAGCAGAGGGCGCCCGTTCGAGTCGGGACTGAGTCATATCTCCAGAGTGTGACTGTTTTTTGAAAGTCTGATTTATTTCGTCAGCGGCGGCAACTACTTGTGTCAGACTATTTGGTTAGATAAGGATACCAATTAGCTCTGGCTTCGTGCACTAAATCTCAGGGGAAATTAGCAAAACTTGCTCTCAGAAAGAAAGCGGGCTAAATGGATGTTGAAAGAAATATAATCATTCGAGTGCAGATATGAGTAGGGCCTGCGTTGAACGAGCGACTTCGGAACTAGACCCTCCGCCACCGAGTCAGTATCAGGCTCGGAACTACTTGCCCTGCGTAAGAAAGATCAGTGATATTCAGTCTCGGGTGACATGAGGAATACCTAGCGTTGAAGAGCGCAATGAGGGCACCAACTGGCCGAGAGTTATCTGGAACCCATATGTGTGTTACCAAATATTATCGGGGAGTAACGAGCATACCAGCCCAAAATTTAGTGAGAGCAATGATTCACACACGCCGTTAAAAATAATATAAACACGCGAGAGATCAGAGGGAAAAACGTACAACGAGAAAACGCATGACTCGGGCCCGACTCGAACGGGCGCCCGCTGCTACATGCAACGGGGACTCAGGAACGCGGACCCTCCGCCATCGAGTCGGTACAAGCATGGATATGGAGCAAGCTGGAACCAGTTAAATCGTGCATGAGGGATGAGAAATTTAAATACTAATCAACATGCGTATTCTTGACAGGGGGGGGGTGGAGTTCCGGAGAACCGCCTTTGACTCGGCACCATCCTCTGGGATTTTAGTCGGCTATGTCCGGGAAAAGATAGTACCTGAAAAGAAGAAGAAAAAACTGGAATTAGGGGCGAAAACTGCAAAATGCAAAAAGCCTTGGAAGACAAGCGTATGACTCGGGCTCGAGTCGAGCGGGCGTGCTCTGCTTGACATTGTCAATTCCGTATTTATCGGCCGCAGATGCGGACCGTCTGCCACCGAGTCGTCGAAAACACTTCATCCACCTGAATACTCGAGCAAGATCATATCATGAAATGGGCAAAGTCAATATTTTCTGCATTGGGCATCATGGATGAAAGTACATACCAGCCCGGACGAGGGAGGGTTCGCGGCCACCGCCACATAATAAAAATTCGCGGGTCCGATTGAAAAGATCGGCACTGGAAGAACGAGTGCCAAAATAGGGGTCAGGGATTCGGGCTGAGTCGGACGGGCGCCTTATGCGTAAACCATGTGAAACACATACGTTGAGCAGATGCGGACCGTCCGCCACCGAGTCGGTATTCAATCTGAAAGGCAGGAAATTTTAACCCGCCTGGAAATAGACTGGAGCTCGGATTCGGTGTAGGCGCAGAATGAAGTCCTCTCCGATGGATGTTGTCCATGAGACCTATGAGAGCAGATCACAGGGAGGAAGCGGGTGACTGGAAAATGAAGTCGAGAACTTGATGCTTGAAGGGCGGGGAAAAACGTGCGTGCAAACAAAATCTTCGAATTGGTGGCATGACTCATTCCTGGTTCGGACAGGCGACTTCCGCTGGGGAACTTCCGGCGCCATTCAGATCAAGCGGATGCGATTACCTTCACCACCGAGTCGTAGTGGTAACTCCCAGCACGAGAAGATGACGGTAAGAAGGAAGAGGTACGGTTGAACCCGCCACCGCCCCTGGCATGTGGTGACGTAGCAATGACGTGTGCTTTTTGTCTTCCTCTTTCATCTGCTCTCTGGCCTTCCTGGCGCTCAAGCTTCCTTCTAACGAACGAGAACAAGATGACTCCGGTTCGAGTCGAATGGGCGGCTTCCATACACTTCCCTATCGCCGAGTCTTTGCAACAACTCCCGGTGCAAGTCAATAATCTTTTGTTGTTTTTCTCGTTGAATCTCGGGGGATCAACCTACGCCACACTCTTACACTCGGCTAATTCCCGGCCCTTGACAACGACATTGTCACCTGTGCGCATTTCAACCCAGGAACCCATCAATTGCGGTGATCTCGGTCCTGCCGCTCTGTCATTGACGCTGTGCACGACCTCGCATTTTGAACACTAGGGCATGGGTTGTACTCGGTGCAAATGAGATCACAAACATTTGCATCAGCTGGGCACCCGCCTGGTCGGTATTCCGTACCTTTCCTGCCTTGGCAGAATCTCAATATGAATCAAATTTGAAAGTGAACGCAGGTTTCAACTTACAAGCGTAGCGAGTGAGGTTGGATTCTCAGAGGAACTGGAAAAAAAAAAACGGCACTGGGCAAAAATCCAAAAGAAAACCAAACTCGCTATGCATGACTCGGGCCCGAATCGAACGGGCGACTTCTGCTGAACGGCGATGAATGTCTGTATTAACTTGGCAGACGCGGGCCATCCGGCCTGAGTCGGTATTTACCTTGGATGTGCCCTGCGTAAATGAGACTAACATCGGCTAGGCAAGCGCCTGGTCAGTATTCAGCACCGCCTTTGCAGAATCTCAATGAATCAATCAGGTTTCAACTTACAAGTGTAGCACAGATTCTCAGAGAAACGAGGGAAATAATCGGTGCTCAGGAGGAGACTCGGGAAAGCCACAGATCCAAAAAGCAATATGCCATGGTACGGTGGTATGACTCGGGCCCGAATCGAACGGGCGACTGCTACTGAAAGATCAGAAGGATCAGAATGTCCCGCAGACGCGAACCATCCGCCACCGAGTCGGTATTTACCTTGGACGTACCCTGCATAAGGGATCAGACATTCGCTCTCTCGGAATGACGTGTATCAAAAAAAAACAATAGGGTGAGCACCGAAACGTGGAGCGCACCATGAAAAATGGCAAAATGACGCTCACCTGTCGTCTGGAAGTCACTAAAATAATATCGGCACAGAAGAGAACGAAAAAAAATAAACGACCGCGCGAATGCCTCGGGCGCCCATCGAACGAACGACTTCCACGGAAATCGTTTCGGAATACAGTGAACATGAAGCGGATGCGATATCCTTCGCCACCGAGTCTTTACAGTGGACATTCCCTGCAAGCCTAGGATGATGCGATTAGTTGAAAGTACATACTCGTTTTTAAGTATTGGTACTCACGCCTCGATTGGGTACGTTTCGGGAATCTGCGATCCCGAGCTTGTTGGATGGTGAATACACGTGCATTAGAGAGTGCAAACAGAAACTTACGATACCGTCCAAATTCGTTGTATTGGCCCCTGGGACGCAGCACCAACACCCGCGCTGATAAGCCGGCCGTTGCTGCTGCAAGACCGGCAGATGACGAGGGTCGCAAAGGGAGGGGTAAACACTCTGCAGCCGGGATGGGTGGAGCGAGCCTGCCTTTTACATAACGTTGCCGGTCCAGTATTTATACGACCAGCGGCGAGGTTCCGGTGTGGGCCGCATGACGTTCCAGTGGACTTCCCTGATGCAGAGAGCTAGACCCGAGTCTGCAACGCCGAGCAGCGCGCCGCGGAGGCGACCAGCGGGGAATCCTCTGAATGCAGCGGCATCAGAAGGAAGTGCACTTGAAGGAGATGCATCCCCCAGTGTCGAAGTATTAGTCCCCAGAGAGTGCTTCGGTCGTACTTCCAGCAAGAGACCAAGTCACTTAGATTCCAGAAATCAACATGATGGTGCGGAGCAGTTGCAGACCCCTCACCACCGAATTGGTACTGATACTCCTTCAGCCCTGGATAAATGCGCAGACAAGAAATTCGAAATCAGGTTCGAATACTGTAAATTTGCGGGATCGCGGCCCAAGCACTGAAAAAACTATGAGTGAGGGGAGGAGAGCGAATAATCCAAAAGAGAATGCTTGGACCTCATAACTCGGATCCTAATCGAACGGGCGGCTTATTTGAACCGTCGAAGGTCACAAATAAAGCGTATGCGATCATGCCAACGTCTGCAGATGCAGCGGAAACAGATGGGAGAAGAAAAAAAAGGAAACTGAATTGTTATAACTTGGCCCCGAATCGAACGGGTGATTTCTGCTGAATGGTGGTCTAAGACGGATAAATAACCCGCGGACCCGGACCATCCGCCACCGAGTCGGTATTAACCTTGATATTATGTCGAATAAATGGGCCCAGCAAAGAGTCGCGTTGGCTGGGATTAAGTGCGCTATTATATTGCGAGAAAAAAAATAGGTGAGCACTGAGCGGTGAAGAGCGCCAAGACAGCGAAATGAGAAGCCCACCTGTCGTGCTCGAGAAGCCCACATACTGAAGATCGGGCTGGCGCAGAAGGAGAAAAAAAGGGACTGGGCGTACCAATGACTTGGGCCCGAATCAAACGGACGGCTTCCGAGGAAATGAGCATGAATTGCTCACGACATTCGCCACCAAGTCGGTACAGTAGACATCCCTTCAAGCCTTGATCCGAGTCAATTGTAAGTACATACTCCCCTTTGAGCAGAGAACATACCAAAGTCATTGCATACGCCGTTCCCACTCGATGCTCAAGACCATGAACATGTTCATATTGGCAGCACCACCCTTCATATGTATCTGTGGAATGCGTGAGTATTCAGCGTCCAGGCCCAACGCCGGGTACTGACGCGTTGCCACGGAGCTGGGAGTGGGAAAGGGCAAAAAAAAAGACTTGCCCCGGACAGCTGCTACAAACGTAACTTCAGAAGCAACGGAATCGATGAATGCACCTGCTCACGCCCGACATCGATTCCGCACGCACCTTCCTCGCTCGCTCCCTCACGTACGGATGCTTGATAAAAAAATGCGTGAATCTTACCAATCGCGACCTGGACACCGAGGACGTACTATCTGCGACTGCCTAGTGGGCCACTTCGCCTCTAGATGGGTATGGATACATATTTCTTGTCCAAGCTTGTTTGCATGTTGGAAGACATGTAGAGGCGCCCCTAAAAACAAAGTTCGACGCTGGTTGATGGAGTTGACGTGATGCCGTGCCGGTTTTGCCGGCGGGGTGGGTTGCCGAACACGTGTTTGCTTATTTTTGGCATGGCATCGCTTGTGAGAAACCGCCTCGTTCTCCACGACCTCTTCATCCTTCCACGACGTCCGGGGCTCGTTCTGCTCGGCGGATACCTGGCTACGCCCCGGAACCTTGTCCAACCCACTGGATGCTCTATCAGTCCTGCTATCATGCCGAAGATTCGTGCAAGATACCAAAATTCATCTCCCAGGCCATGCACTCGCCACCGCTGTATTGGATTCCATCGTGGTGCTATGACTGTGAAACTTGGCATGGGCAGTGAGCATGGTTAATGCATTCCTTTGATGGTGTCAATATGATTTTATCGATTTTATTCTTCCCTCATTGCAGCGCACAGTGGAAAACCACCATTTACACATATCCGCCACTTGGGATTTTTTTTGGGAGTTCGACGAACCCGGTCCTCGAGCGGGCGATTTATGTACGTTCCTATAGCTCCTCTGCGGCTGATCCTTGCTCACTTTGGATATGCACCTCATTTTTGCCGCCGTACCGGTGCTCGCTATCGGAGGCTATCGGCCGGTTTTTTCGTCATATCGTTGACCGATATTCATGTTGATTCACCCATCTCTGCATGTCGATTACCACTTCAATATGATGCTTTCCATCCCTCAATGTCAATTTAAGGAGCCTTGGGCACTCTGTCGTTGCATATAGCCGGCTTGCGGGCCTCATCTTCACTCGCATTTCTGCCAAATTTTCACCTCACTCCCCACACAATTTGGTATGCACACCGCGTGAGACTTCGTTTGAATGAACCTGACCCTCAGGATGAGCCTACACTTTTCACCGCCGCTCCTGAGGAGGACACAGACTCGCTCTGACAACACCGAGGAGGACATCACAGATTTCCCTTGGGAGAAACACATGCAGCTTGCTGTCACCGCTACTCAAGCGAACCAAGCCGGGCTGAGGGCCATGAACGAGTAGTTTTGGATGTCCTATAGGCCTTTTGTATCCCTTGAAGTATTTTATAGCATTTATGGTGATGTGAGGAAAGCAGAGCGACGAGGAGCGCCGCCGATTGAAAAAGTTCCCACGATCGGCCCACTACCGCGTTTTTTCCGATTTTGGACTTGCCCCGGCAAAATATTCGCCGAGCCATCAATCCGTGACCAAATCCCGCGCCGCTGCCCACAACTCACTCATATGATGCCAGACTACGTTTTGGCGTGCTACAATACCTGGTAGCTCAACATGTTGTGTTTTGGGCAACAAAAAACCCTCAAGGTGGCCCAGTACCCAGTCGCTGATAGTACCTGTTTCAATGTGGATGGTGCCGCGTCCGGCGTAACAGTGTGGTTATTCGGCACAGTGACGGGGACGGCGACTTTACGGGTTCAGCACCGCGAGGGCGTGTAATGGTAATCTTAATTAAGGTCGGTGAATGATATATGGACACGCACCGTGCAGTCAGGATAGCATCATCAGCAAGCGATGGACGTTGTCTCGCACGCAGCCGTCTTGTCCCTGAGCATGGTATTGGCGGAAGCAGCCTGTGTATTTGTCCGCGCGCGATACCCCTCGTCGTTTCCCGCCGTGAATGGCTGAAAATCGCGCAGGGAGTCCCCGCCGTCGGTCGGGAGCTGGAACGATGAAAAAGAAAAGTACCGTCGGGGAACGATACCGACTGTATAGTGTACCGTCAATCGCAGTGGAGGCATCCAGGCACGTATGCGCAGTGGATTTCATCGTCCGCGCCAGGAGCGTCTGTGTAATGGCGGTTCCGAATTTTAGTGATGGACCCGATAAACTACGTCCGCACGCACTGTTGATTTCGGGATAGCATCATCAACAATCGATGGACGCGTATTTTCGCGCGAAGGTATCTTTTTCTTGAGCACGGTGTTGGCGGGCGCTGCGTCGATGTTCGTCGGAGTTGACATCCACAACTCTCGGAGTCACGAGCATCCTCGTTGAACGCCGCTGCGAAGAGATCGGAATCGTGCAGGATGCTGCAGGATGTCGTCCCCGCCACCCGTCGGGAGCTGGAACAAGAATAGCGCAGACGCGTTGGGGAGGAGTTGTCGCAGGCTCAGGTCCATATCTCCGTGCATTGTATTCCAGCTGTGTCGGCGAGGGTTTTGAAGGTTTGATCTGCACCATCCGTCGGGAGCTGTAAAAAGAACGACGCAATCTCGTTAGAGAGGTCGGGGAGGTGTCGCAGGCTCGGCTCCTCCGTACATTAGGACTCCAGCTGTATCAGCGAGGGTCGTAAGCGCCAGTCTTTGAGAATCGGAGGTGGAAGCGAGAGAGAGGAGCAACCACGTGAGCTGCGCGTCGACATAACCAAAGAGAGGCAAAGCTATGCAAATACAGTTGGAGTCAAGAAATTTTATAAACCATTCAGCGCAATACTCGAAGGGAGAGATTGAATTAAAGTTGAATGGTAACGAAATTCAGGGAATCAAAATAAAAGAGAGCAGACCCAAGATCAATAACTGAGCCCGAACCGAACAGGCGCCCTCTGCTGGAATGAACACTGAAAGCCAGTGGTGCCCGATCACGGAAGATTATTATTTCATTACGCGTGGCGGCCACGCCTTAGGGTCACTGGGCCCAATGTAATTTTGTTTGCTCGGTAATCGGCTTTTGATATTGCTGGTTCTAAATTGGTTCCGACAACGCACAACCCGCATGTTCTGTCACTGCCATGTCTATGGCCTAAGTGCGGCTCACCTCTTCTCCCTAAACCACGATGAAAGCTCTCCGCAGTCTCTTCGTTAAATCTCACCGGGAT